GAATTCACTGTATCACAATTCCAGTCGGTCAGAAGTTTACATACACTAAGTTGACTGTGCCTTTAAACAGCTTGGAAAATTCCAGAAAATGATGTCATGGCTTTAGAAGCTTCTGATAGGCTAATTGACATCATTTGAGTGATCGTAGCCGGCCGCGACCGGAAGACCCATGGGGCGGCGCACAATTGGCCCAGCGTCGACCAGGGCAGGGGAGGGAATGGCCGGCAGGGATGTACAGTGAGGGAAAAAAGTATTTGATCCCCTGCTAATTTTGTACGTTTGCCCACTGACAAAGAAATGATCAATCTATACTTTTAATGGTAGGTTTATTTGAACAGTGAGAGACAGAATAACAACAACAAAATCTAGAAAAATGCATGTCAAAAATGTTATAAATTGATTTGCATTTTAATGAGGGAAATAAGTATTTGACCCCTCTGCAAAACATGACTTAGTACTTGGTGGCAAAACCCTTGTTGGCAATCACAGAGGTCAGACGTTTCTTGTAGTTGGCCAACAGGTTTGCACACATCTCAGGAGGGATTTTGACCCACTCCTCTTTGCACATCTTCTCCAAGTCATTAAGGTTTTGAGCCTGACGTTTGGCAACTCGAACCTTCAGCTCCCTCCACAGATTTTCTATGGGATTAAGGTCTGGAGACTGGCTAGGCCACTTCAGGACCTTAATGTGCTTCTTCTTGAGCCACTCCTTTGTTGCCTTGGCCGTGTGTTTTGGGTCATTGTCATGCTGGAATACCCATCCACGACCCATTTTCAATGCCCTGGCTGAGGGAAGGAGGTTCTCACCCAAGATTTGACGGTACATGGCCCCGTCCATCGTCCCTTTGATGCGGTGAAGTTGTCCTGTCCCCTTAGCAGAAAAACACCCCCAAAGCATAATGTTTCCACCTCCATGTTTGATGGTGTTCTTGGGGTCATAGGCAGCATTCCTCCTCCTCCAAACACGGCGAGTTGAGTTGATGCCAAAGAGCTCGATTTTGGTCTCATCTGACCACAACACTTTCACCCAGTTCTCCTCTGAATCATTCAGATGTTCATTGGCAAACTTCAGACGGGCCTGTATATGTGCTTTCTTGAGCAGGGGGACCTTGCGGGCGCTGCAGGATTTCAGTCCTTCACGGCGTAGTGTGTTACCAATTGTTTTCTTGGTGACTATGGTCCCAGCTGCCTTGAGATCATTGACAAGATCCTCCCGTGTAGTTCTGGGCTGATTCCTCACCGTTCTCATGATCATTGCAACTCCACGAGGTGAGATCTTGCATGGAGCCCCAGGCCGAGGAAGATTGACAGTTCTTTTGTGTTTCTTCCATTTGCGAATAATCGCACCAACTGTTGTCACCTTCTCACCAAGCTGCTTGCCGATGGTCTTGTAGCCCATTCCAGCCTTGTGTAGGTCTGCAATCTTGTCCCTGACATCCTTGGAGAGCTCTTTGGTCTTGGCCATGGTGGAGAGTTTGGAATCTGATTGATTGATTGCTTCTGTGGACAGGTGTCTTTTATACAGGTAACAAGCTGAGATTAGGAGCACTCCCTTTAAGAGTGTGCTCCTAATCTCAGCTTGTTACCTGTATAAAAGACACCTGGGAGCCAGAAATCTTTCTGATTGAGAGGGGGTCAAATACTTATTTCCCTCATTAAAATGCAAATCAATTTATAATTTTTTTGTTGTTATTCTGTCTCTCACTGTTTAAATAAACCTACCATTAAAATTATAGACTGATCGTTTCTTTGTCAGTGGGCAAACGTACAAAATCAGCAGGGGATCAAATACTTTTTTCCCTCACTGTAGCTCAGTTGGTAGAGTATGGCGTTTGCAATGCCAGGGTTGTGGGTTCGTTTCCCACGGGGGGCCAGTATGAAAAAATAAAAATAAAAATAAATAATGTCACTAACTGTAAGTCGCTCTGGATAAGAGCGTCTGCTAAATAACTAAAATATAAATGTAATTGGAGGTGTACCTGTGGATGTATTTCAAGGCCTACCTTCAAACTCAGTGCCTCTTTGCTTGACATCATGGGAAAATCAAAAGAAATCAGCCAAGACCTCCACAAGTCTGGTTCATCCTTGGGAGCAATTTCCAAACGCCAGAAGGTACCACGTTCATCTGTACAAACAATAATACGCAAGTATAAACACCATGGGACCACGCAGCCGTCATACCGCTCAGGAAGGAGACGCGTTCTGTCTCCTAGAGATGAACGTACTTTGGTACGAAAAGTGCAAATCAATTCCAGAACAACAGCAAAGGACCTTGTGAAGATGCTGGAGGCAACAGGTACAAAAGTATCTATATCCACAGTAAAACGAGTCCTATATCGACATAACCTGAAAGGCCACTCAGCAAGGAAGAAGCCACTGCTCCAAAAACGCCATAAAAAAGCCTTTTTGGAGAAATGTCCTCTGGTCTGATGAAACAAAAATAGAACTGTTTGGCCATAATGACCATTGGGGGAGGCTTGCAAGCCAAAGAACACCATCTCAATCGTGAAGCACGGGGGTGGCAGCATCATGCTGTGGGGGTGCTTTGCTGCAGGAGGGACTGGTGCACTTCACAAAGTAGATGGCATCATGAGGAAGGAAAATTATGTGGATATATTGAAGCAACATCTTAAGACATCAGTCAGGAAGTTAAAGCTTGGTCGCAAATGGTTCTTCCAAATGGACAATGACCCCAAGCATACTTCCAAAGTTGTGTCAAAATGGGTTAAGGACAACAAAGTCAAGGTATTTGAGTGGCCATCACAAAGCCCTGACCTCACTCCTATAGAAAAATTGTGGGCAGAACTGAAAATGCGTTTGCGAGCAATTCACCCAACTTATTGTGGGAAGCTTGTGGAAGGCTACACGAAAGTTTTGACCCAAGTTAAACAATTTAAAGGCAGTGATCCCAAATAGTAATTCAGTTTATGTAAACTTCTGACCCACTGGGAATGTGATCAAAGAAATAAAAGTTGAAATAAATAATTCTCTCTACTATTATTCTGACATTTCACATTCTTAAAATAAAGTGGTGATCCTAACTGACCTAAAACAGGGAATTCTTTACTAGGATTAAATGTCAGGAATTGTGAAAAACTGAGTTTAAATGTATTTGGCTAAGGTGTATGTAAACCTCCAACTTCAACTGTATGTGTTTTGGTACCTTATCATAATAATACAAGTCATATCAGCTTAAAAATTGTTCATTAACAATCTTTGGGGTGTAACATGTTGGGAAAAGTGGTATTTGGAGGGTCTTACATGAAATCTCAACCTTAACATTAAGGTTTTAGTAGACTGTTTGACCAGTGTACCTTCCTACCATCAAGGTGCAGGACACAGTCTTTGCCAATGAGAACCAAGAGGAGCTTTGTGCCTGGCTCTAGTAGGCTGAGTGAGAATGGCTGCCTTCTGTTGTACTAGGCCCATCTGCACCACCAACTCCCCTGATGTTCTTCAACATATGCTACCCCCAATTCAGTAGTGGTCTTCAGTGAGGTGCACTGCTGCAGGTTTCTGTCCTCCATGAAAGGGAAAGGCCCAGATTATCCTACATCCACCTCATTAGATCAGAACAGGATGGATCAACAGTGATTCATATTACTGGCTTGCATCCCAACATATAATGTGTTCAATGTTTTCACAGCCCTTTAAGTCATGAGAATAAAGACAATTGACCATACAATTAGGAGTCAAATAAATATGTGTGGGCTACTATGCCTACTGCTTCCAGAATTTTATCTTCCAGAAAAATATACCAAAATGTACAGTACATTTTATTCTATCTGGACTTTGGATGCAAGGACAGACAGTTTTAAACATACAGTATGGCTCAGTTGGTATGAGCAAAACAAATAAATGACAACAAAAATAAATAATGGGTTAATCGTTTTCATTTGGATTTATGATGAGGTAAGACAGTTGTACTAAGGACAGTCATCAATAAAAAAAATCATAAATAGGGGTAAAAACAGTATCAATACATTTGTCTCAATTCAAGCTGATCCAACAAGTTGTGTGATATCCACTACTGGACTTATCACCAGTATCGCTTGTGCCAGAGTGTCAGTTGGCTGGGATTACACCATGTATAGAGTTAACCATATATTGGAAGGGGTAATCTCCTGAGGACCTACCAGTTGACCAGGAGCACCATGTCAAGGGGACCAAACAAGTCAATACCAACTGCTACACATTTACAAAAAATGCAAATACCAATTGTTTTGTGTAACATATCTGTGGTGCGTAACGGCACAATCACCGTTCGGGAATTCGGTTTCACAATCATTCGGGGTAAACTGTGAAAATAAATGTGTACTGCACAACATAAACAACAACCTTAAAATGTTTAACTTTGATGCAAAATTGTTGGGAGATAACATTACCAGTGGGTGCATTATAATTAGCCTTGTCCCAGTCATATCGGCCCATGTGGTAGGTCTTTCTCCTGTTTCACAAGGCAAGTTGATGTACAAGAGAGTGTGGGTGTTTGAGGATAGTAGGGTGTGGTGGTGTGGTGGTGATGGACTCACAGAGTCACGGATGGCTGGAGACAAGGAGTTCCTGAGAGGGTGTCTCAGGGAGAGTGGTATATGCAAAAAACACATTTCCAATTCACACATGTGTATTAATAAACACTTGTAGATGTGTGAAATAGGACAAACATAAGCACCCACCAAATTATTATTATGTGCTGTCAGGACTTAAGTGTGGGTGCAGAGTTCTGAACCATTTGGAGCTTATGGAGAGAGCTTGAGTTGATGCCGGAGAGTAATGAGTTACAGTAGTGGAGTCCGGAGGAGACGAATGCATGGACAGTTTGCTTAAAGATTTTTCATTAAAATGTCCAGCACCATCCTCAGAGTTGCTTTCATTTTTGGTGTAATTCACATTTCTAGATAAGGCTTAAAATACAGGATAAAGTCTTGCTATGTCACATGATTGTGCAAAACACAGGGCCCTGTGGCAGATTGTCAGTGTGCTGCTGTAAAACTGAGGTTTTAGTTTTGTGATTCCTTCAGCCACATCTTGTCCGACTCGCGTGTCACCATCTGGTTGCCTTTGATACGCTCTATCCACAGCTGCTTGGCCAGGTCGTCCGACAGGCCCTGCACCTTGCCAAAGTAATTTAGAATGAGGTTTATGCTGTGTGTGTTCTTGCTGTCCATGCGGTACTGCTCGTACATGTGGTCATTCCATGAGACTCCAGGTTCCATCAGCTTGTGGTGGCCCTCCAGCAGCTTGGCTTGCTCTATCATTACGGAGTGTCTGCCACCATCTGAGGTACTGCACAGGAAGGGAGGAGGAATATTAATACACAAATACATTGTTACAGTACAGCAGGGCTCTCCAACCCCGTTCCAGGAGAGCTACCCTTCTGTAGATTTTCACTCCAATCCCAGTGTTAATTTACCTGATTTAGCTTATCAACCAGCTAATCATTTGAAATCAGGTGAGATAGATTATGGTTGGAGCGAAAACCTACAGGTCGTTAGCTCTCCAGGAACAGGGTTGAAGAGCCCTGCCGTACAGTGCCACATCAAATGCAACGCAAGCCAACAATAATAGTTCCCAATCAAGTGTCATTTTATGTTGGAGCTGAGCATACCTGAAAATATATTCTGCAGGTTCTCCACAGCTGAGGCAAGCTGACTGTGTTGCATCCTAGCATATTTTACATCATTCAGGATTCAGTGATGTCGATGCTTTGCCTCCAGTCCTTGCTGATGTCTGCCAGGGAGTTCTGGATGTCATTCAAGTCCCCCAAGGCATAGTGGAACTGACTGAGGTCTGTACGTGCCCCTGGAAAGTGGGGACAGACAATTGTAAATGGTTTAGATAGGGCTTTACAGCAAGCAGACTCCATCAGTATACACACACACACTTTCTCACCCCGAGGTGAGTGTCAGTTCTCTCCATCTCTCGACAGGCTTGATGATGCATCCGCTCCTGATGTCCACCAGAGTGGCCTTGGAGTTCTCAGTTCCCTGTCTGAACTCGTCCACAGAAGAAGGAGTGTACGGTTGAGCGAGGAGAGAATCAGGGAGAGAGAGAATGAGAGAAAGAGAGAGAATGAGTGAGAGAGAATGAGAGCGAGAGAGCGCAAGAGAGAGCGACTTCCAGCAGTGGACATAACTTTATTCAAAATGTCCGGAAAATATCCTTAACCTTTCTGTCACTCTCCCGTCCATCTCGCTGATGTGTTCCTTTAGCAGGCCGGTGTTCAGGTCCTTGAGTAAGTGTCTGGGCTCTGTTCCCTGTCTGCGCTCCTCCACTGGGACGCTCAGGACCTCAACCAGCATCACATCTACAGGGAGAAGGAGAGGGCCACTGAATAAGCAATTCAAATCAACAGGCGTTTGGATATGTATTAAGAATTAGACTTCTGTTGTACTTTGGAATCTTTCACTCTCGCTGTGTCTCTCACCTTGCTAATAAATCAATAGCTAGTCCGACATTACTAGCTGTTCCAGCTGTCAGATAGCAGGTGATACGTACAGTAGCTAGTGTTAATGGTAAGCAGTGAATTTTTCGACCAACCATTACTTGGCGGTACCTTTCTCAATTCCCGACTTAGAAACCTTGCGCTGTGTTCTAAACTTCCATGGCTAGTTGCAGTTGGAATTTTACAAATGTTCTGTTATTAAATAAAATAAATGTGTACGTCATCATCTTCTCTTTTTAAAATCTACAAATTAATGGAGACAGGTGAGTGTCATTCAAAGCAACGCTTGATTTCTGAGACACGCTCATGACATGCAGCACTTTGGGGTGGACACCTTCCTGTCTCGCTCAATGAGAGAAGATTTGAAATAGACAAGATGGCGGCATACTGTTGGTTACTTCATGGAGCAAAAAAGTATTTATTTAAAAACTGAGCATTTTCTAAACTACAACCTGCAACTAAACATGGAAGTTTAGAAGACAGAGGTGGTTTTCCCTGTCTGATAAATAACAAAAAAGCAGTAAATGATAAAATAGCCTCCACCAGTCTTGCATTACAATCAGTCTGTCAGTCTTGCTTTAGAATAATGAGGATAAACTTCCTCTGTCAAAACGCTCTGTCCTCTGGTCAAGCATTGTCAAAAATGCTTGATGTGACCTGCCTGGCGCAGCCATCTTCATCTCTTCATATGAAGAGAACACGTCTGTTGAGAAGATGGTGCAAAAGTTGATGGTGGTAGACCAGTAGCCACTCCTTTGCAGGTCTTTCATGCCTGCTGTCCCGGTCTCCTTGCAGGTTTCGCAATGGTGATTTTAACGACCTAAAGAAAGCAATCGGTCAGTAAAGTTGATCGGTTTAAAAGTGAAAGCCTCCCTGTTGCGCCCCTGGTCTGGTCTAGACCTCGGCGCGTTGCTTCCCCTCTCCTTCCTCCCACTATACTCCAAGCCCTGTCTGGACCCTGGTGTGGGAGACCCCGAACCTGGAGAGGGGCTGACGTCTGGGTCTGGACTGGAGCCGCTGACCGGAGCTGGACCGGGCACCGGTGGAGCGGATTGCTCAGGCTCCGGACTGGAGCCGCTGACCGGAGCTGGACTAGGCACCGGTGGAGCGGACTGCTCTGGCTCCGGAGTGGAGCCGCTGACCGGATCTGGACTAGACCCCGGTGGAGCGGACTGCTCTGGCTCCGGAGTGGAGCAGCTGACCGGAGCTGGATCAGGCACCGGTGGAGCGGACTTCTCTGGCTCCGGAGTGGAGCCGCTGACCGGAGCTGGACTGGACCCCGGTGAAGCGGATTGCTCTGGATCCGGAGTGGAGCAGCTGACCGGAGCTAAACTGGGCACCGGTGGAGCGGACTGCTCTGGCTCCGGAGTGGAGCCGCTGACCGGATCTGGACTGGACCCCGGTGGAGCGGACTGCTCTGGCTCCGGAGTGGAGCAGCTGACCGGAGCTGGATCAGGCACCGGTGGAGCGGACTGCTCTGGCTCCGGAGTGGAGCCGCTGACCGGAGCTGGACTGGACCCCGGTGAAGCGGATTGCTCTGGCTCCGGAGTGGAGCAGCTGACCGGAGCTGAACTGGGCACCGGTGGAGCGGACTGCTCTGGCTCCGGAGTGGAGCAGCTGAACAGGCACCGGTGGAACAGGCTCGGGCTTTACCGGACTGGCGACGCGCACCACTGGCCTGGTGCGGGGAGCAGGTACAGGCCGGGCCGGCTGGCGACGCGCACCACTGGCCTGGTGCGAGGGGCAGGAACAGTCCGGGCCGGGCTCGCGACGCGCACCACTGGCTTGGTGCGAGGGACAGGAACAGGCCGGACCGGGCTGGTGACGCGCACCACTGGCTTGATGCGAGGAGTAGGAACAGGCCGGGCCGGACTGGCGACGCGCACCACTGGCTTAGTGCGGGGAGCAGGAACGGGCCGGGCCGGGCTGGCGACGTGCACCACTGGCTTGGTGCGAGGAGCAGGAACAGGCCGGGCTGGCGACGCGCACCACTGGCTTGGTGCGGGGAGCAGGAACGGGCCGGACCGGACTGGCGACACGCACCAATTTCTTGGTGCGAGGAGCGGGACTGGGTTCCTTTATTAACCCCCGCTCCTTCTGCTGCCTAACCAGCTCCTCTCGCCGTTCCTCTACACTTTCCTTCTCCCTTTTAGCCTCCTGTAGCGCCTCCCTCTGACCAAATAACTCCTGCTCCCTCTGAACCAATAGCCCCCGTAACATGGTGGCCTCCTCTCCTAACCTGCAGATTCGCCCTTCCACGGCCTCCTGCTGCCTCGTCATCCACCCCGTGTGCCCCCCCCAAAAATTTTTTTATTGGGGTTGCCTCTCGGGTCTCCGTCATCGGCACGGTTGGCGCTGTTTCTCCTCTCCTACCTGGGCATCAACCTTCATCGCCTCCCGATAACGGACGGCCTCCTCCTCAGTAATTCTCCCCCAACCGAGGAGGACATCTACTAAAGTTACCTCCTGTTGAATCCCCGGCGTTTGCTCCTTCTGGGCACGCTGCTTGGTCCTTGTTTGGTGGGATCTTCTGTCGCGTTCGTTCATAGACGGGTCAGACCAAGGCGCAGCGTGATATGCATACATGTTTATTTGAACCGAATAAACCACGACAAAACAAGAAACGAAACGTGAAGTCCAAGGTACACAAACAACATACCTCACACGGAACAAGATCCCACAACCCACTAGTGCCAATAGGCTGCCTAAGTATGGTCCCCAATCAGAGACAACGATCGACAGCTGCCTCTGATTGGGAACCACACCGGCCAACATAGATCTAGACATGCTAGATCCTACAACATAGAACAAACACAACAAGGAATATACACACCCTGACTCAACATATAAGCGTCCCCTGAGTCAGGGCGTGACAGTCAATGACTGTGATGTCTGTAGTGGGAGGCAGTGGCTGTAGGACGCCTTTCACCATGGGATCCCGATTGTGGAGCAGGACTAGGGAATGTCTGGCTGTGTCACAATCGGCACTGAAGAAGGGATATGGTAGGCAGTCTCTACAACACACGACAGCTGGGTTGGTACTGCACTGTTGACATCACGGTGATGAGGTGACATCCTCCACTGCCAGCCAGTTGTCAATGAGATATGGTCTCGCCTCCCTCAGCCTTTCTGAAGAGATCTGCTGTCTGGTAGCCCAGTCTGATGAGGCTGTGAGCGGTGGTGGTGATGCCTCATCGTGAACATCGGAACTGTCCAAGAGCTCCTGGAGTTCTTGGAGTAGGGAATCTGTCCAAGAAATAGCTGAAATATTAGGAAAGTGTTTAAAAGTGACAGATGTAGGTATTATGCACTTGAGTCACCACACAACTAATTAAAAGCAAACACAAAATAAACATCCATCTCTGCATCCACCACACAGCTGATATTCAACAATTTAGAAAATGTGTTATGCACTACAAATTAAGTCTATTGTATCTACAAACTCATTTATCTTGAGTTTTTTCAAGAAGCAGCATCAGACAACCGTTGATATTGAAGAAACACTACAAAAAAATTTTTTTTCAAAGTGCAATGTAGCATTATTACATCCTCAGTAAAGAAACAGTAGGCACATATGCATGGTACAGTATAGACTACACACAGCACCGGGAGAAAACTGCTCTTAAAGTGACTGGTAATAGTAAAGCACTCATCCAACTCATCCAATCATGAGTTGGTCCTGACTGCTGATGATCACACAAATCAGTGTGTATGAGCACCCTAACCAGCTATTATAATCTAAGTTTGTCAAGACAATTTGTAAAGACAGTCAAATGTATATACTGTAGTACATACCAACTGTCTTGGGAGCATTGGTCCAGTCGGTGGTGGTACTGCAAGGATCTGTAAATAAAACAAGACAAACAAGTGTAAATAGATGTGTCAGAATTGAACCATATATATATATTTTAAAAAGTCAAATGTACATTTTTTACTAGTGTGCATCCAGATTGCGTCGTAATTGGCTGAAAGTGAGTCTGTTCAAATGTCCTGCTGGCTCTCATTCTCTCCGTCTAATCAGGAAAAAGGGACACCAGGTGTGTGGACTCTGGCCAATCAGTGAGCTTTACATCCAGGCAGATGTAATAGCTGGACTAGGGGTTGTTGTCCCATCTCTAAAGCCTTGTTCACACTGCAGGCCTTAATGCTCAAATCAGTTTTGTTTTTCAAATCCGTTTTGGAATACTGACTGTCCAAACAGCAAGTTACAAGTGACCAAATTGGATTTGTGTGTGTTCAGACAGCAGTCATTTGCTGACATGGCTAGGCTAGTTGTCATAGTAACGATGGGTGTGTTGCTTCCTATCACTCAGAAGTTATGTAGCAAGCTAAGGTGACAACCAATGCCTGCCATGGACGTTTCCCAGTTGCTTTGAATGTTCAAAATCATAGTGTAAGAACACGTTTAAAGCCTCAAAGGATAAGATGATCCAACTTTCAAAACGAGTCCTTTTTGGCTAGCCACAGCAGTCAACTAGCTCATAACTAGCTAGCTAGG